CTGTTGTTATGAGCTTTTCTTTCTTTTTTTCCGCTTTCTTAACAATAATCTCGCTTCTTTTTCTCTCTATAATTTCTCACAGTCATTGATACTCAGGACATTCGGTGAGGTGTTCTTGTGTTTCAGCTTCTTGACGGCATATTTTGTATTTATCGTATATATATATATTCGCTTTCTTTGATATTGAACTTGCATCGTTGGCAGCAGATCGCCCAAGTACTTGATCTTAAAGACCTAATCTCTATGTCTTTCTGCACTTCTGCACATATTACCTTTAACCTTGCCTATATCTTTTCATATCTTCTTCCATTCAATTGCCTTGTCGCTATCCTCTATTGATATCTATCTGTTTATACTTTTCAGGCTTTTCTATTCCATGTCGATACTAAATTCAGTTAATCTTGTAATAAAGCCTCTTGTTGCATCATCTACTCTTGTTTTTTGCCATCTGAGTTCGGTTATAGCTTGCTTGTTTTATGGCCACTTGGGATCCAGAACCACCTGAGTATGTGTTCCTTCTTTTGCCAATTTATCTGCCTTGTATACCGTTGTGTGCTTTGACCTTGTTGAGCCGAACCTTCAGTTCTTTCAGATCTATTGTTCTTCGAATTTGTTCTAGTAGGTATAAATTCTTCTTTCTAACTATCTCACTTTGCTTGATTTTGTCCTTGTTTGTCTATATTGCTTGTATCGCAGCTGCACTATCTGTATAAATAAGTAACTGAAGTTGCTATATCCTCTTTGGTGATAGAAATAATCGAACAAGCAATCGAAAGTCCTCAAACAGCAGAGAAGCTAAAGAGCATTACAGCATAGCTAGAAGGGCATAAAAAACTGGTTTTTTACACTAATGGCTTACTCACAAATCTAGATGAAAACCCAGATAGAAGAATAATAAGAATTGGCTGGGTAGCTGCAATCGAAAACAAAAACAAAAAGCATAACTACTTCATAGCAGAGTTTCAAGGTACAATAAGAGACTAGCTATCCTCAACAAGAGCTAAACTAGGAGCTATTTGGTTAGCCCTGTTAGTTGCCTCCTGCAAGACCTCGATTAGTATTAACTTCATATACAGAAGGCATTAGAGCTGTACTTGTTAAGCTACTTGGAAACACAATCACCAAGCAGCTTAGAGAGACACTTAGGTTCCATATGTGAAGTTCTGCAGGGTTTTTCTATAACAGTCTCTGATTGATTGCTATCATCTTGTTTTTTACTAACTTGTGTTTCTAACAGGATTTAGGGGTCTCGTTTTTTCTACTGTTCTGTTCGCAACCCTTGCATTTGTTCAGTTTTATCATGTTATTTTTCTGGTTGTTTGTCGATACCTAGTGCTCTATTGTGTAGGTTCTTTTGCCTTTCTTCTTTATTATCTTACCGACCTCTATTCGGTCTTTGGCCTTCAACAAGATCCACTTCTTCCTTTTTCTATCAGTGCTTATAGTAACTAGTGCTATTTTCGGGCTTAAATTGTTTGTAGCCTGGGTTTGAAAGGTAGATTTAGCTCTTCGACTAGTTTTATTTATCAGAACTGCGTTTTCTATTTTTGCAAACCAAAATGGTACTTTGCTAGCTGCTTTCAACCTTTTGCATTTCTTGATCTGCTTCCATGTTAGTAGGTTAAGGCCTTCATTATCAAGAAGCTGCTCTATAACATAAAGCCCTATTTCTTTTTCTTAAATGTAACCTTTTATTTGTCTTTCCTTAAGCAAATCTAATATCTCTGTACCTTTTTCTGTAAGCTCAAGGCTTTTTTCCATCTCTTTTGATCTAATATTTATGTTTAAACATTTTGCTTTGGTTATGATTTTATAAGCCAGATTCTGTTTAAGCCTGACTTTTTTTAGCCTAGCCAGGTCTAATTCCAGAATACACTTGGTACTTTTGTAGTTGATCTGCGCTTGTTGTATTCTGATCTATGTTGCTTTGTCTGTATTGTTTTGATAGTGCATGCGTTTACGGAGTTCTGTTATATGATGGGCCATTTGATTTTGCCAAATTGTTTTTAGACTAGCTATGTTCCTGTGTGTTAGAATTGCATTTGCTATTGTGCTAAACAGGTCTGATTTGTTTTTTATCAACTTTACTAAAGAGCTTTGCAGTCTATCACACTGACCTCTCGATAATATACAATGCTGAAGTCTATATTCAAGTCTTGATATCAATACCCTGTTGTTGATATATATTAACTGAGCTAAGGTTATGCTTTTTTTGCGGATTATTTTTATTACTGTGTTGATCTCCTTTTTTGCAGTTTTGATCGCATGATATTGATTGGATTTTTTTGAGAGCCAGATGCCTAAGAACCTTGCTATTTCAGTTATCTTTTTTTCTGTCATCTTGTTTCTTGTAGGCCCTACTTCTATATATCTAAGATTCTTTTCTTTTTTTCCACCCACTATTAAAAGCTTAGACTTTTTACTGTTTATTTTTATATTATTAAGCTTGTAGAATTCCTGTGTGATTTCTAGTGACTCTTCTAGTTTTTGCTTATTGGCTGCAATGTAGGTGGTGTTATCGGCGTATGCAATCACTGGGACTCGTAAACTTTGTTGTACAGTGGTATTTTTACTAAGACAAACAGGCCAGTTTGTCACTAATTCATGTCCTTGGTCACAGTTTTCTTGTAGCTCTACTAACAAGAGATCATAAAAAATCTACCAGACCAAGAGGGATGTCACTTCTCCTTGATCTATTTCATCACTAGCTACAAATTTCTCTGTCATACCTATGCTTGTAATGATTTCCATTTCCCAGTTTTCATACAAATTAATTATAAAACGAACTATAGTCTCTGGGATCATGATTCTATCTAGTGCGAGTTTAAGCATCTTAAGGTCTACAGAGTCATATGCTTTTCGCATATCTTGGAACATCAACCATATTTTCTTTTTCTTCTCTTTTGCTTCTTCTAAAAGGCAGTTTATTAGATATACCAAAGCTGCAGTGCTCTCTTCTGGTAGGCCAGCAAAGTTTTTGTCTTTTAGAATTTTTTTTCCCCTATTATTCTTGCTAACCTGTTCGTCACTATTCTTACTACTGTTTTTCAGAAGGACTCTAGTAGCAAGATTGGGCACACATTGTTTAGGTTATAGCACTATTCTTCTGTTTTCGGAATTAGATACAAGATTCCAAGCTTTCATTTCTTCAGCATTGTACCATTTTTAATACACTTTGTGGCGAAATTGCGAAACACAGAGTTTGCATATCCTCCTACTCTTTTGATTAGAGTAGGTAATATCGGATGTACCTGGAGCTGACTTGGCTTTTGCTTGTGCCAAAGCTATGTTCCATTCTATTTCACTAACCTTACTTGTGATATTTGCAAACCAGGTCTTATCTATATCCTCCCTTGGAGTATATTGCTTTTTCCACTTTGAGGGTAGCTCATTTGGGTTTTTTTATAGAATTGCTTCGCAAAGTGATCCCTGACCTCTTTTAAGATCTCAGTTGGCTCATAAATTAGTTCAGGTTCCCCTTCAATATCCTTAACTACCCTGTTTATTTTTATTTTTCTGCTTGGGCAGTCTAAAAAACTATTTAGCATTTTTCTCTAATTAGACACAATTAGGTCATGTTTTTCTTCTATATAGTTTCTTACTGCCATTTTTTCTGCTTTTTTAATTTTTTGCCTCTACTCCTTGTATATAACTTTAGCCTAGCTTCTAAGATTTTCTATATTTACAATGTCTGGCTCATCTGATAAACCTGTATCTATAATTAATCTAATTTGTTTCAAAACTATCTTCTTTTTCTCTATGCTCAGCATGCCTTTTTTACTCTTATAGTAACTTTTAGTGCACGATTTAACTACTAGTCTCAATGCACGTATTTCTTTGTCCTCCTTGCTAATCTGCTAGATCTTAGAAGTTTTCTTCCTTTTTGGAAAGCTTTTGTTTGCTGCTGTTCTCATACAGCTTTCTATAATGTCCCACTCCTTATCGAGGTTTTTGTGTTTGTGTTTGTACTATACGTCTTTTAATTTTTTGTTAAGCACTTTTTGAAAGTCCTCCCACTTTTCTTTAGAGGCCTCACTTATGTTAATATTTACTCTTTTTTTGTATAAGTATTTTCAGTTTGCAGGTTTTGCATTTCTTATTTTTAGGCCGGTAAGAATACTTGCTCGTATAAGCTTGTGATTACTCCCAGTACAAATTGACATATCATCTACTTTGGTGCTAACTATATTACATCTCTACTAGTTCGAGACCCATATATAGTCAATTCGAGTTTCTGTACTTCTGTTTGACCATGTTGGTGTCTATAGAGATTCTTGTACATCAAAGAACTGCCTCTCCTCTTGAGATTTGTTTTATGCTTTGTGCTTGTACTCGCAGAGTCGTTACTTGCAATTGCTTCTGTGTTCATATTCAAATCGTCTAGTACTACATAATGTTGTAGCTTTCTTTTATATTGATATATACTACATTTGAGCCTTTGTAATATTTCTTTCTGCACTGCCATGTCATTCGAAGCTACGTATATATATATGATATTAATTGTAATGCCTCTAAAGTCTAACACCAGGCTCAAAAAGTATGGATTGTCTCTAATCTGAGATATAATGTAACACCCCATCTTTTCCTAATAAGGACCCCAAGTCCAGACTCTTTCTTCTTATTTTCATCAGAGTCTGTCCATATACTAATGTATAAATTATTGTCTTTCGTTGCAAAAAAGCTCTCTTTGTTGCTAATATTTGTTTCTTCTAATCCAAGTATATCTATCTTTTTCTCTTCCGTGTAATCTATTATTGCATTCAGCTTGTTCTTATTGTCCTTTATCCTATTAATATTGTGAAACCCAATATTCATCATACAAAAATGCTCGTATTTATCCTCTTTGCTCACTGTCCTCTGCTCAACTTTTTCACCTGGGGACTCTTCCTCACCTTCTCTCTCGACCCCTTTATTTTTTGTAAAGGTGTTCATTATTGTGCCTGGGGTGCCCTTAGGAGCGATTCACAAGAGCTACTTTTGCAGGTGCTATCTTAGATGAACTACTTTTGGTTTTCTGTTTTTCTAGTCTGCTCAAAATTTGTGCCAGCATGCTATGAACTAAATCTTTATAGGTTTAACGCTTTTTATCTGCACTCTTCTTATCATTTATGAAGTTAGATTTTATATTTTCTTTGTTTCTATTTTTCTTGTCTACTAAATGTCTGGGTAGAACCAAGTTGCTGCTTGTTTTGTTTTCGTTGGCCTTGGTAGAGGTATATGGATTTTCTTTCCTTTCTACTATATTACTCTCTTTCTGATTGGTTGGACCAGTTGTTGTATCTTCTCTATTGCTTACAGTACAATTTTTAAAATCTTCTTTTGTACTATCTGATAAAACCCAATTGAGCTTTGTATTGTAATAGTACATTCTCTTTGTAAGAGCTACTAGAAGTTCCTCCTCTGAATTGAAGAACACTGAGACTGTGCTCCTTTGGTTCTTGTTGCGGTTGTGTAAGATGTATACTGCTTGTGCCTTTACTGGTTTTAGCTGTTTTAGCAGCATTGTCTCCAGAGCTGTCTTGGAAATATTTTTTAGTACTGCTTTGTATTTTTCTCTTTCATCTAAAATGCTTCTGTCGAATACCCCTTCAGAAAGTCTTAGCATTTTCTCTTCTTCGAAGTGGACGGCCCAAGCTTTGGTAAATAGAGCTTTTTTTCTCTCATTCCAAAATATTATATTAAATGAGATAGCTTTTTTTGATCCTAGCGATTCCCAATGCCTGAATTGAACTTGACTATAGAAATACAAATATCTTTGTACTTTTATTGTTTTGACTTCTGCTAGTATGTTCCATAAAGTATATTATATTTTTGAAGCTTCTGTGTCTTTTTGTCTGCTTCTTGAAGTTTCTTTAATGTTTGCTTTCTCATATTCATTTTGGGCTTCTATATTTATTTTTTCACTAAACATGTCTTGTGCTATTGAAATGACTGTAATTTTAGCTAAGTCATCATTTTCTTTTTCCTTCTTACAGGCCTTCTTGGTAGAGTTCCAATCCGGATCAATCCGTCATCCGTTTATCCGATAAATTTTATCCGGATATCCGTTTTTTTGATTCGGATATCCAAATGGATTAACCGAATCATCCGATCAAAATAACATGATTTTGGTACCATTCGATTTGTCTCATCGAGACGAATCGAATGGTACCAAAATCACGTGGGCTGCCATCAATAGAAATAAGGCATTGACATTTTAAAAAAAAATGAATACCTTAACTTTCACAGCTCATATCTCGATGGATTTTGAGGCTATCTTGATAGTTTAATATTCAAAAGAAAGCTTACGAACTAAGCTTTCTTTTGAATATTAAACTATCAAGATAGCCTCAAAATCCATCGAGATATGAGCTGTGAAAGTTAAGGTATTCGTTTTTTTTAAATGTGACGGCAGTCCATGTGATTCTGATCCACCTGCATTTTCTCATGATCAAGGATTTGAATAATCTTTCCAGCAGTTAGTGGAAACGCTTGATCCGTTTCGC